TATACTTGGCCACATGGATAAATTTATACAGAAACCAGGAAGATGAACTGCAGATATTACAGCATGGATGGTGCCGCTAGCTAACATTAAAATTGGAGGGCCCATGGAATAGTTCACATTCCAATGACTAGTGCTGAGAAGTTCCCACAGTCTTCAGCTAAGGGTATTGATGTGCTTTTCAAGAAGAAAAGAGAAAGGCCCTGATGCTCACTTTCTGTTCTATAGTGCATTAAGTAGAAGAGATTCTTTAAGTGTGTGCTTTTAATGAAAAACAGTAGAATGTAGTATTTTTAGTTTGTGCCCATCTTTGAAGAATTTAATCCTGACAAATGATCAGCAGAATGCTTTGCCTCATAGAGTAACCAGAAAAATAACTTCTAACAGGGCGCAGAGGAGGTGGGCAAAAAACCTAAACCTATTTCTATTTATATCTTTCCTTATCTAACCAAAATTATTTTTTCTTTTCTTTGGCTTTGACAGAGGGACTGTGGGAACTAGGCTCCTTGCCTCTTGAGAATTACTGTATAAGGGGAAAAACACAAATGCGCCTTGACATAAGCTGGTTTTATGCAATAGGTCATCTTGAGAACAGCCAAAAGTAACAAGGCTGTCTTGTTCAGGTCACAAGGCTGAATGTTTGGGGACTCAAATGTGTTCATATGTGGTCTTGCTGGGCATGAAGAAAGCATGGGTGAAAGTTAGTTAGTTAGCTAGTTAGTTAGTTAGTTAGTTACTTTAAAAAACACCCCATCTCTAATGATATGCAACAAGTGGTGTAAAACAGCTTAGTTGCCCAGTTTGCATTTCTCCATCTACACTGAAAAGACACAGCCAGGCAGTTTGTGAAGAGGTATCTGAAGCAGGTACAAATTTGCATCTACATTAGGTGTGAGCAGATGCCTGCTTTGTAGATGGATCAATGTTTCTGGTGTCTGTGTTCTGTTTAATTGTCCCAGCCAAATGCATTCAAAACATATTGGGATGACTAATGTGTATACCACAATCCTGACAGCCAGTTCAGCAAGGGGAAATGATTGTTGGGGAGTTTAGAACAGAGAAGCTGTGCGTGCATGCGTTAAAAGGGATGCTTAACCTTCCTCCTGCTGCCCACTAATTTCCCCTTCCCTAGCTGATCCATACACTTCACAGAGTTCCTTGCAAATAATCAGGAAATATATTGCGGGAGGGAATTGCAGGGGGGGAGAGGGCAAGGGTTAAGCACTCCCCTGTGCTGCTTTTCTATGTCACATTGGACCCTCTCAAAGCAGGTGCTCCTATGCAGGGGTGGCGGGAGGAACTCACAAACAGTTTTCATCTTTGAGTTTCAGGACAAACCATTCAAACTGGTGTGGAATTTGACAGCCTGTAAATTTTCTGTCTCCAAGTTTCTATTCTACATGGTTTCAGGAAACAGCTTTGAAATTGTGTGGGCAGTGTTGGGTGAAAACTTAAATCTAAAAAAGGAGAGGTTGTCGGTGATAGATCTTCCCTGCATGGCTGCCTCATATTTGCTAACTCCAAAAATTCCTATGCTATCTCCTTTGCAGGAGGTATTTAAACACTCCTTCACTTTTCAAAGAGAATCACTGACCAGGTAACTTTCTGAATCAGGGTGTTAAGACTGACAGAAAGGGCCTCCTTGGAAGTTCTACCACAGTCAGAAATTGGGGCAGGGATGGCATGGAAAAAGATGTTCTATCTGTACAACATACCTAAACTGTGGTTCCCCATGAGGAAACCTTTAGATTTTTAGATTTGTTAGGGAGCTGAGAAATCTGTTATACATCTCTAATCTCCTCACAGCCTTTTTTTTACTTATCTTTCTTAGGTTTCCTTGAAGCCATAAGTGTACAATGGTACCTCAGGTTACATACGCTTCAGGTTACAGACTCCGCTAACCCAGAAATAGTACCTCGGGTTAAGAACATTGCTTCAGGATGAGAACAGAAATTGCATGGCGGCAGCGGGAGGCCCCATTAGCTAAAGTGGTGCTTCAGGTTAAGAACAGTTTCAGGTTAAGTACGGACCTCCGGAACGAATTAAGTATTTAACCCAAGATACCACTGTATAGCATAGGTTTGCCTTAAGAATACAGCTCTGTACACACCATATACTTAAATCACGACTTCCACCAAAGAATCTTGGGAATTGTTGTTTGTTAAGTGCTGGAAAATGTAACTCTGTGAGGGATAAACTACAGTTCCCAGAATTTGGGGGGGGGAGGGGAGAAGTGTGCCTTAAATGTATGGTGTGCATGCATTCTGTGTCAGAAATTCTAACCACAGCAGCGTATTTTAAAAGCGGGGGGGGGGGGGACTAGCTAGCCAACTGGAGGCCATTTTCTGAATGCCGATGGGATTGTTTTCATTTATGTCTGACATTTTGCAAATAGCAAGCAAAACATCAGCAATGGCGGCACAGCAGTTTTTACAGATAATATTCATTGACCCCCCCCCCAAAAAAAGGATATTTGAGGGGCCGGTTGCTGTTGAGGGAAAAATCAAATCCATCATATTGGACTATTAATTCAGCTCATTATCTTGCAACACGCATGTGTCTGCCAGGCGAAGGTTAATAGAAAGTTTATGAAACTTGGAATGCAATTAAGTCTCTGAGGGCTGCACAGTTGGAGGCTGCGGCAGTTTCTATGGAAACCAAAGGGCTCAGGACTAGTAACAGCGGATTAACTTGAAGGGAGAGATAAGTACATGAAAAATAGCTCTCATCTACCATTTCTGTCTTAAAATGGAATGGATCAAAAAGTTGAAAACAAAGGAAGGCTGCAGTCTTGCCCATAGTTAAATGCGGCAGTATTTACAGACACAAATAGCTGAGCTGGATTACAACAACCAGCAATTTTATTTATACTTTTATTCATAAAATTTATATGTCACTTGGTTGCAAAGGGGGGGGGGGAACGCTCAGATCTCAACAGGTCATAATTATGAAATGCCTGCCTGGTCCATCTCAAGGAATACTTATTTACTAACATCAATGCCCATGAAAATGAATGGATTATTTATATTAGTGGTGCCCTTTCTGCATTCATTCTCTTTTTTCACATATTACTATCCTCTGACCAAACTCCAAAGCTCCCTGTCATACACACATGTTGACACAGACCCTACCTTTGAAATGGAGAGTGGTTAAACTATTTGATTTAAGGATACTGTTCTTAAGTTTGTTGACTGGGAGCTCGTTGGGTGGGCTAGGTTTGAACAGGTTGAAGGGGGTTTGAATCGGTCTAGACAGGTTGGAACTGGTCTAGACCGGTTTGAACCGGTTGAAGCCGGTTGGAACCGGTTTAGACCGGTTGGAACCAGTCCATGCTGTTTGGAACCGGTCCAAGCTGGTTTGAACTGGTCCCGACCGGTTTGAACCGGTCCCGACCGGTTTGAACTGGTTGAAGCTGGTTTGAATCGGTCTACACCGGTTGGAACCAGTCTAGACCGGTTTGAACCGGTTGAAGCCAGTTTGAACCGGTTTAGATCGGTTGGAACCAGTCCAAGCTGGTTGGAACTAGTTCAGACCGGTTGGAACCGGTTGAAGCTGGTGGGAACCAGTCCAGACCAGTTTGAACCAGTCCAAGCCGGTTTGAACCGGTTGAAGCTGGGTTTGGTGGTCCAAGCAGGTTGGAACCGGTATAGACTAGTTGGAACAGGTCCAGACGGTCTGAACTGGTCCAAGCTGGTTGGAACCGGTCTAGACCGGTTGGAACCAGTTGAACCCGGTTGGAATCAATCTACACCGGTTGGAACCAGTCCAGACTGGTTTGAACCGGTTGAAGCCAGTTTGAACCAGTACAGACAGGTTTAAACCGGTCCAAGCCGGTTTGAACCAGTCAAGACCAGTAGGAACCAGTCATAGTTGGTTTGAACCAGTCCAAGCCAGTTGGAATAAGTTGAGACTGGTAGAAACCGGACCAAGTCGGTCAGTACTAGTCTTGACCATTTTGAACTGGTCCAAACTGGTTGAAACCTGTGTAGACCGGTTGGAACCGGTCCAGACCAGTTTGAACCAGTCCAAGCCGGTTGGAACCGGTCCAAGCTGGTTGGAACCAGTCTAGACCAGTTGGAACAGGTCCAGATGGTCTGAACCAGTCCAAGCTGTTTGGAACTGGTCCAAGCTGGTTGGAACCAGTCTAGACCAGTTGGAACCAGTCCAGACCAGTTTGAACCGGTTGCAGTCAGTTTGAACCGGTACAGGCAGGTTTAAACTGGTCCAAGCCGGTTCCGACCAGTCTAGACCAGTAGGAACCGGTCATAGCTGGTATGAACCAGTCCAAGCCAGTTGGAATAGGTTGAGACTGGTAGAAACCGGACCAAGTTGGTCAGTACTAGTCTTGACCGGTTTGAACTGGTCCAAGCTGGTTGAAATCTGTGTAGACCGGTTGGAACGGTCCAGACCGGTTTGAACCAGTCCAAGCCAGTTGGAACCGGTCCAAGCTGGTTGTAAGCGGTCCAGACCAGTTGGAACCGGTTGAAGCTGGTTTGAATTGATCTACACCGGTTGGAACCAGTCTAGACCAGTTTGAACCAGTCCAAGCTGGTTGGAACCAGTCTAGACCAGTTGGAACCGGTCCAGACCGGTTCGAACCAGTCCAAGCTGGTTGGAACCGGTCTAGACTGGTTGGAACTGGTTCAGACCGGTTCGAACCGGTCCAAGCCAGTTTGAACCGGTCTAGACCGGCTGGAACCAGTTCAGACCAGTTTGAACCTGTCAAAGCCAGTTGGAACCGGTCCAGACCGGTTTGAACCAGTCCAAGCCGGCTGGAACCGGTTGAAGCTGGTTTTTGCGGTCCAAGCAGGTTGGAACCGGTCTAGACTAGTTGGAACAGGTCCAGACGGTCTGAACTGGCCCAAGCTGTTTGGAACTGGTCCAAGCTGTTTGGAACCGGTCTAGACCGGTTGGAACTGGTTGAAGCCAGTTTGAACCGGTACAGACAGGTTTAAACAGGTCCAAGCCGGTTTGAACCAGTCTAGACCAGTAGGAACCGGTCATAGCTGGTTTGAACCAGTCCAAGCCAGTTGGAATAGGTTGAGACTGGTAGAAACCAGCTTGGACCAGTTCAAACCAGTCTAAACCGGTTCCAACCAGCTTGGACCGGTTTGAATCGGTCTAGACCGGTACCAACTAGTTTCAACCAGTTCAAACCAGTCTGGACTGGTTCCAACCGGTCTAGACCGGTTCCAGCCAGTTTGGACTGGTTCCAACCAGCTTCAACTGGTTCAAACCGGTCTAGACTCATTCCAACCAGCTTGGACTGGTTCAAACTGGCTTCGATTGGTTCAAACTGGTCTGGACAGGTTCCAACCAGCTTGGACCAGTTCAAACCTGTCTGTACCGGTTCAAACAGGCTGCAACCAGTTACAACCAGCTTGGACAAGTTGAAACTGGTCTAAACCGGTTCCAACCAGCTTGGACCGGTTTGTTCCACGCTGTGTAACACTGAAGAAAAATTGTCCATTGTGGCCCACTCTCCTGAACTTTCCTCAAACTCCACTAATAGATTTTCACACAAATGAAGGCCTCCTAAAGTGATATTCTGAATGTTTCAGAAAGCATTTCAAGCTAGTTTTCACCTTTGTTCAATTTAATTTTTCTTTCTTTCTTTCTTTCTTTCTTTCTTTCTTTCTTTCTTTCATTCCAAAGCTCTGATACAATTAAACAACCCCCAAAACAAAACTTTGGAGTGAAAAGGGGCACATGAGCAGCCTCAGCTCATTCAAGTGGCCAAGGTACAAAATGTTACACCAGAATTTAAACAGCATATCTGTAGCTTTTATATGAAAGATGAATTATGTAATTACCCTTATTCTAAGGCACTCAAGATGGTATCCATGGCTTTTCCTGTCCTTCACAGCACCCCATGCATCATTTTGGTAGAGAGATGTTGAGTGGCTCAAGGTCACCAAGTGAGAGCTTCATAGCCAGTTCTCTCCATTCCTTGTCCAATACTCTAATCACACCATGCCGACTCTCTGGAGCAAAGGAATAATCTGAAACAATTTGCATTCCCTCTGCTCCTAGAAACTACCACAGAAAATAAAATGAACTTGCTTCAATCTCCCTTATTCATTTATATCATTGATGGGTTAATTAATGTCTATGTGGAAGGAAAGGAGTCCCTGGAAAATTAATTCCCCCCTTCTTCTCATGTGCCAGAGGAAAACAGAAGCATCTGTTTCATGGTTCCTTGTGGCACCCAAACTCAGGGAACTGTGGCTTGTTTAAACAATCCAGGATCAAACTATGGTTTCATATCCTAGCTTGTTCTCAAAGCAAAGTTAAAACTAGTGATTTTGTGGCCTTCCAGATGTTGTTGAATTACAGCTTCCATACTCCTTGCCTATTGGTCATGCTGGCTGGGGCTAATGGAGGTTGGATTCCAGCAATATTTGGAGGGCTACAGGTTACCCATCCCTAGAACTCTAAGCAAACCACAGTTCCTCAAGTTCAGTCATCACAGGACTGGTGGTTAGACTAAAACTGAAAGCAGAAGCTTTTACTCTCCTATTCTGGTGAGTGCAAGATGAGAAGTGAGGAGGGAATTGTGCAATGAGTCACTGGGTACTTGGGCAAGTCATATCATAATGTTAACAAGGTATATTCAGACGTTCATTTGAAGTCAATGGGATTTAATCCTATTAAGTGGTGCTAGAATTGAAACTTCAGTCTCAGCATTCCCATGTCAAATGGGATAAATGGTTTCTAGAACACATTCTAGCTGCCTAATTCTTTAAACAAGGTACTGTTTGTGTATGTGTAATACATGTGGTCTAACGCGGCCACAAATCATGAAGCATCTGTTCTTACATTCAGTTCTTACACACAACTGTAACTCTATATTACATTGATGTGCGTGTGGTCTTGCTAGCTGGCAGGAGACTAGTAAACACATAGCTGGGCACTGGATGTAAACAGAGAGCTTTGTCTATAGCAGCAATGGCCAAACTTGGCCCTCCAGCTGTTTTGGGACTACAATTCCCATCATCCCTGACCACTGGTCCTGTTAGCTAGGGAATTAGAATCATAGAATTGTAGAGTTGGGAAGGACCCCAAGGGCCATCTAGTCTAACCTCCTGCAATGCAGGAATATCTGCCAAAGCATCCACAGAAGATGGCCATCCAACCTCTGCTTAAAAACCTCCGAGGAAGGAGGGAGACCGTTCCACTGTCAAACAGCTCTTCCTATCTGAAACATTCTGAGAATTCCAAGGAAATACAGTATAACAAATCTCTCTCTCTCTCTCTCTCTCTCTCTCTCTCTCACACACACACACACACACACACAATTCCAAACTGTGTACAAGCACTGAATATGTGTAGACGAAGGAATGCTTTTCAGCATTGAGTGGAGGGGTGTTTTTAAAGAAATGTTAATTCTTGTGCCCTTTTGAAATATTTTGCAAATGGAGATTATCCTTGTAATGTGCTTTGAAATTTCTCTGCTTTGGCTTAATCTTATCTCCTCCAGCAAGTCACTCCAGAGTCAATGGCCTTCCTCCAAACAAAACAAAACAAAATGTATTTCAGGTTGCAACGCACTTCAACTGAACGGTTCATTTGCCTTAGAAGCAGCTATCTCGGTGGTACATAATGAAGAGACTACTTTTGATCTACTTAGGCTAGTCTTGAAGCTAAAAGAACGAAATTTGCTAAAGGAGATAAAAGAGAGAGGAATGTACTCTTGCGTTGCCTTAGCAACCAGAAGACGCTTAGGTCCTTTCTCCGATATCTGACAAAATGACTGCTGTGGCTTTCAGTCTGGGTCAGCAACATCAGAAGGGTTTGGCAAGTGGAACTATTAGCAATATCTGTTACATATTCATTTTTTAAACATATCGCAGAATTCATGGTAAATACCCACATAAATACATTCTATTGCAATGCTTACTAGATTGCCGGAGCCCTGTGGTTCCTGATTAGGCATTCCACAAATGGCAGAGAAGATTCCCTTCGAAACAGCTTGCTTACCCATTACTGGTCTCTTCTAATGGACATCTGTGGCAGAGTGCTCGGTGATCCATATGACATGGGGTCACTTCGTGCAGGAAAATGGTGAGGCCCAAATGGGCCTGGTCAGTGACCCACATGTCCTGAGTGTACACGCTGGCTTTGCTACGTGCAAGGATTCCACAGCAGATACTCAGGGCCTCCTTAGCTATTGAAGAGGGTACAGTGGTACCTCAGGTTAAGTACTTAATTCGTTCTGGAGGTCCGTTCTTAACCTGAAACTGTTCTTAACCTGAAGCACCACTTTAGCTAATGGGGCCTCCTGCTGCTGCCGCGCCGCCGGAGCACGATTTCTGTTCTCATCCTGAAGCAAAGTTCTTAACCCGAGGTACTATTTCTGGGTTAGCGGAGTCTGTAACCTGAAGCATATGTAACCCGAGGTACCACTGTATAGGGCATGTGGAAGAACTGGACAGTAAAAAGGGTAGAGGGAAAATGCAGGGACTCATCCCTTCAGCTGGGAGGAAACACTTCTTCCACCAAGGTATGGCGATAGATAGATAGATAGATAGAGGGAGTGTAGTTCTTTATTTCCATCAAAACTGGGCACATGTACACACACAGGCTGCATATACAAATATGCAGTTCACCTATTTGAACTAACCACAGAGGTTCATTCAAGATTATGTGAGCCAAGATTTCTCAGGAGAGAGTTTTCTGAGAAATTTATTGTTTGCCCTCACCCAAACTCCTGGCGAATTCTACCTCTCCCAGAGAATATTTACACACACTCTCTCTCTCTCTCTCTGTTACACAGTCCACAAATATTTCAGCCCATATTATTCTTTCATTCATTTTTATTTATAATATCTATGTGCCGTTAATGAGTGACGTTTCTAAACAGCTCACATGAAACAGTTAAGATCATTGAAAGATCTATATTACAACAGTTAACCAAAATACAAAAAAAAACCCCACATCAATAAAAGCAAAGAATACATCAGTAAAATGGAGCAGTGCAATGAAGCTTACAGGCCAGAGAAAGCCTGCATAAATTGATGGGTCTTCAGAAGGTATTGCTACCTCATGAACATCACATGGTTTATGTTCCAGAGAGCGGTGCCACTACTGAAAAGGCCTGCTTGCAAGACGCTATAAAATTGCATCCCATCATTTTTCGCATCAGAAAGGCCCCCTTGGAAGATCTGAGCGACCAACCAGAGGTATATTGTAAAGGGGAAGCTGGGCTGCTAGATATCCTGTCCCCAAGCTGCTACTTATCTGTACCACTGAGACTGAAGTCACCTGAGAAAGACTTGTGCCACTGGCTTTGTGTGGGAGGCTGCAGTATCCACACACATAAAACAGCCTCATGGGACCAAGCCAAGTGGAAGCAGTGTGTGTTTGTACCTAGATGTTACAAAATACAGAGCTGCTACTGCCAAAAAGAGCAGCCCCATGCCAAGTTCCTCCTCCCCTGCCCCGCTCTATAACATCTGCTCCCATTTACCACATGTCCCGATATCTACAGGACTATCAGGGGCAGAGAAAACTCAGAACAACATCATCCAGAATGAGGCAGGCCAAATCCAAAAGAGAGGAAGAGGAAAACTCAGCTGGGCAGGGGGCAGTGATGTTGGTTTTTTGGTGGTTGTTTGTTTATTTATTTTGCAATGTCTAGCACCGCTCTATGCAAAGGCAGCACCCTATGGACTGTAAATGTAAGATCAAATAACAGGGACTTTACTGACATGGATTTCATGTTGAGGGATGTGAAGGTCAGACTTGAAGCACAAATAATGATTATAAAAAACAGATCAAGCAGCTGAATTCAGAAAATATTCCCTTTGCTTGATGGACTTGGCAGACTCCTTGTTATATTTCCTAAGAGAAATATGCAAATATTAACTGTGTTGATAAAAGAATTTGTGCAGTAGAGTTACAGCAGCAGCAAAATAGAACATATTGTTATTTTTAGAAGGTCCCATTCAACCTGACCAGCAAAAAAGATTCTAAGTCAAAGCTATTCATTTTGTTTCCCGAGATTGGCAGTGCGGGAGGGGAAGGGAGAAATTAATTTTGGCTGCCTCCATATCTGGCTTCTTGCGTTCTTCCAAATACAGCTCCATACTTTGGAACAAGAAAAGAGTGTGTGGGTGTCTGCAG